CAACTCCTTGATTGTTGTGTTAGATGCTCTCAACAAAGAGAAGTGATAAATTTGCAGTTTTGCTAAGTTGGCTTTAACAAGGGTAATTCTACCTCGAAAGGACAAGTACCTCATATTCCATGAGTCCAATTTAGTATGAAATCTCCTTGTTTTCACAACAAACTCCCATTACCTTTGTTTTTTCCATATCGATCTTTTGGCCCAAAGCAACATTATATCATTCAAGCAACAGCAATAAACTTTTAATTTGGGTTAACGAGGGATTGTCCAATACCAAACTATTGTCGGATGTCTTAAAACCACTGTGCAATGCCTTCTCATTCATTGATTGAAGCGACTAACTAAAGGACTTAGCCTCCAACGCAAATAAGAAAGAGGAGAGAGGATCTTCTTGCTGAATACCTCTGGAGCTAGAAGCATCCGACTGCTTTCCCTTCAATCAATTTTGAGCATTATGCTTTGTCCCACATCCCCCTAACCCATTTCTTCCATCTATCCCCATATTCCATGTCTCTCCTAATCTAGAGAGGGTACTCTTATTCTACTTTGTTATAGGTATTTTCGAAACTGGTTTACATCCCGTTTTGCCTGCTATCTTTCTAGAGTGTATGCATTCTTGAGCCATTAAAATGGTGTTTTTGATTTATCGATTTTTGATAAAAGCTGATTGAGATCCTGATACTACTTCTCGGAAGACAACTTTCGAGTCATTAGCAAGGGTCTTAACAATTATTTTATACAAACTTGTCAAAAGGCTTATATGTTTAATTCATTCAAGGATACTATATTTTTCTCATGGGAACTATATTTTGCTGCCGTGGTGCAATTCATCGAAGGCTTCAACCAACTCATCTCGAATGATATCTAAGAGAAATGGAAAAAGGCCCTTTGATAGCCATTAGAGAAAGGAGCTTTATACCTCAGGAGCGAAAAGACAACCACCTTTATCTCTTCTAGTGTAAATGAGACTTCGAGATTACTAATCTACCTTTCATTCAGTTTTTTACGAGACTGAGATTTTTGGCTTTACTGAAAGGCTTCTTTAATATGTTTTAAAATAGCACCTTCAAGGTCCACTCTGTTAAAACTATTTAGACTTTCAATATGAACCCTTGTAAGCTATTGCATCTTCTTCTCGACTTGACTTTTACATGGAAGTTTTTTGTTTTTTGATGTATGTGTCCCCTTCTTTTATTCACTTGATCCAGATCTTTGTGTGTTTAACGTTGACACCTTATGTAAATCAATAAATACAAAACAGAAAAATTTGAAAATATATCTTAGAAAGTATTTTTGAGCCCAATTAAAATAAATCGTCCATTTCAATGAGGTGTTTAGATCTATGCCTTAGAATTACTTTTTCCTTTCCGAATTGTTTAGATAACTTTATTATCATTAGATTAGCAATTTTAAAAAGGAAAAGATTATTTTTGAATTGGTAAAGGCCTGGATCTTGAAATTCACTAAATAGATGGTTGAGATTCATTATTAGGGGGCACTCGTTTTGACTATATCTAATTTGAAAATTGAATTTTATTTTGTTTTGGATTGATTATTAGGATGAAAAAATGTGTGCGCAAAACCTAGGGTCATAAAAATGCCAGATTTCCTAGAAATGTGGTTGCATTATAGAAGAAAATCGACAGCATAAAAAAAAACCATAGCTCGGGAGACATCGGCAAGGAGATTTTTTCGATGCCATAATTTTCATAGCATCTTTAATTTATGGGAAAATTATCCATACCCCACCACTTCAAGGGCCTTACACATAGGCTCCACTAAAACGTTTTTCACATCAAATCCTTTAGCACTTATTTTCTTTGTATCTAGAGTGAAGTTTTTATGCAATTTAGAACAAAAAAAACCCTCAAGTCGGTTTGACACTCAGTGTCAAACCGGGTATTTTTTTTCACCCGAGATCGGTTCAGGAACGTACTTTGGTTCATTTTCTTAACCCGAGTGGAGTGGAAAACGAGGGCATTTTGTCCTTGATGGCCTAAAAGTTGAACTCTTGGTCTTGCTGGCAAAAAAAAAAACTGTCAAACAGTTTGGTGTGAGAAAAATCAATGGGAAGCGAATGTGTAGAACCTAAGGTTGGTAATGAAGCCGGACCCAACGCAGGACCCAATGTCCGGACCTAACCTGGGTTCGGGTATGGGTCCAAGAATTGGACAACGTAGATCGGGTCCTGGTCCAAATATTGGACTCGAGCACTATTTATATCCGGGTCCGGGTCTATGTGGATCATATAAATAATATTTAATATATAATATTTTAATAATCTTTAGCTAATATTTATATAAATATAATTATAATATTTAAATAATATATATTTATATTTAATATAACATTTAAATATATAATTTTTTATTTTTGGGTTGGGTCCAAGCGGGTCAGGGTACATAACTTCAAATCCAGTCGAGTCGGGGTGGACCCGACCGGTTTTCACCCCTAGAAGAACCGATTAGGCAGGGTATACTTGTAATTTTCCCTTAGGCTTGGACAGCACCCAAAGAAAATGCTTTTGAGCTTTTTAAGCTAGATCTGATCCTCCCACAAATGGAAAGTTCAATGTTTGCCTCTGATGGCGAAGAGAATTGATTTGAAAAGTTTCTAGATACTTTTTGAGCTCCATGTCCCCACTTTTAATTAAATTGATCTTAGTGGACAAAAACTGATCTGAAAAAAAAAATCTCTGATGACCTGACCTGACCTGAGCATATTTTTAGGGGCCGGACCTTGCGAGTAGCTTGCAAGACCATAAAAATATTGGTGTTGTCCACATAGAAAGGGTCTCAATTTGACCCAGGGTAGTATAAACCCAATTCTATACACACACTTCGTGGGTGTCATCATCACCCCAATTAGATGGGTGGTCATTGAGAGAGATCAGTGCGGTTCTACGCTCCACCTATCATCGACCTTCATTTCATCCGACAATATGAACGTTTTTCATGTGATTACTATTTCTAGTCGTTTGATCTGAATGGATGATTAAAATATACTTTATCCACAATGTTACATTTTACAGATTTCATTTTTAATTCTTTCTATAGATTATCTTGATATGAAATTTGCAACACACATACTCCCTGTAGGGGCACACACCAAAAAAAAAAAGAAAAATATTTTTAATAAAATACTATAACCATACCCATTAGGTGTGCCTTGTGTGGGTAACGGCTTGCCAAAACTTTCATCTCAAAATTATTAGGTTGGTGAACTTGGGTCGAGTTGCCTTCATCTATTTTCTGCTAAATCGACTTGTTGGGCTGCCCCATGGTTTGGACTTTAGGAACCGACTAGGTTGCCAGCTGATGCACGAAGAACCTGACTTACTAGGCCATCGAGAAAGACTTGCAGGATGGAGTGGTCACTTGATGCTGGGGAATGACTGCTATGACTCCTAGAGGTTTGGTCAGATTAGTCTCCATGAGTGTGTTGTTTGTCGGAGGTTCAGTGAGATTGACCATCTTGATCACTGTGAAGGCTAAGAATTTGACAAGATCATGGGTGCCATGTAAGGCTGAGATTAGGCTAGAAGACCTAGACCTTTTATCTTGATCCTGGTTTGATGGGTCTAAGTTGTTTTGTCTTGAAAAGCCGTGACTCAACCTGACTCAACCTGGATCCTTGGTTACTTCAAGCAATCCGATCAAGATCTGATGCTAGTTGTAAAATAATGACTGGAGTTACCCCGACCTTTTATTTGGATCGGAGGTGCTTCCCTATATTTTATGTGTTCTAAGGTCACATGTAAAAGTTTCTGATTATGATTTACCTAGATACGTCCCAGCTTATGTAAATATCCCCCGCATCTTTTGAAATTTAAAAAGGGAAAAAAATTATATAAGGAAGAGGCCCTAAACAATCAAATCAAAACGCACCTAAAAAATTCACTTGTTTCAATTTCCAAAAATTCTTAAATCAATCATCTCAACCTCATAATGTATGGACAAGAGAGAAAATATATTACTAGTCTTAGAATAGTGCATCCTGCAAGACATTTTTCGGACCATTAATTTTCAAACTTTTCAAATGTTCATAGATATGCTCGATGCACACTATTTTTGAAGCTTTAAATTTTATAATCAGAATTGAAAATAGATGTTTAGGTCATTACAAAGATTTTATGATATGAAGCATCTTTCAACACCATTTGAAGATGTGCCTTGATTGTTTAGGGCCTCAGCCTCATACAAACCACACCCATTTAAAAATATTACAAATATTTTATAATTTACGTTCATGTCCCAATCTTAATAGCACATTTAGTATTTCAACTATATCTTTTTTTTTGTATACATCATATGGTCAAATTTTATATGTTCATACTTATGTCCATCACATTTGTAAAAATAAAAATAAAAATAATAAGACTAAAAATAAAACCAAAATTTCCAGGCAAATTTTAAGGGTATTTTGATCATTTTGGTCATTGTATTTATTTAAAATTATTATTTTACACTTTTACAAGTACATCATATTGAGAAACCTGTAACCAAAATTGAGGCTCAGTCCAATGTATTAAAAAATAAAAAATAAATACCAGATGCACTCCTAAAAATAGGACATCAACATAAGAACAAAATATTAGATATATTTTTTAATTTTCAAAGAATACAGGGAATATTTACGTAAGGTCCCTACATCTTTCCTATGAAAGAGGAACACGGCAAGGGCTAATAGTCTGGACCAATTACGACTTTAGGTGAGCCAGCACCATACATTTGATGAAGTTGATAACAGGAAGGAGTGGGAACCATCAAGGGAGTAGTACCCCCTTCTCTCCCTCTCTCTCTCTCCAAATTCTAATAATTGAGATAGAGAGAGAATGCACGATAAACTAGGCAGCTCCCATGATGATTTTCTAGAATAAAATTTGAGGCTGAGAGAGAGAGAATGTGTCTCAGAGAGAGAGAGAGAATTTTCCACAGAAGAAACATGAGATATTAGTGTCCTGCAACAAGGAGAAATTAGTGTTCAGTAACAAGGAGGCAGACCAAACAAAGTGAGAACTTTTGCCCATGAATTCTGATGGACCAACCACAATTTCGTCCTATACATCCATTAATGTAATTTACAGTGTGTTGTCTTTACTCATTCACCACTCCTCATCAAGACTCACTCTATGGAAGCATAAAACTGTGCAGACAAAAATGAAGAAAGAAGTGAAGACGATAAGCATGGCCCCAGTTTCTATCAAATTTGCATGCCTCAGAATTGCAGGAATTGCAATGCTCCCCACTGCAGAAGCGCCGGTCAAAAATTTCGCAGCATCGATCCAGCTAATGAAATTATAGGATTAATGTGAGTTAACGAGTCCAATTTAACGTACTGAAATGGTCAAATATCTGCGATACCTCAATGGGGTAATGTTTATCATACACCATGGGGCATTCGGGTCCATTGCCAATTATTGATGTTGAAGATTAACTCCATTACCTGATGGTTGACATTCACCAGTCTATGGTTAATCTTCACCATCAATGATTTGAAAACGATAGTTGATGGCCCTTTGTTGTATGATACACCATGTGCCATCTGTGCTATTGACAAAACTAAGGGGAAAAGGGATGGAATTGAAGCCCTACAGACAAATGGGAAATAAGGAAAATACAATGAGGACGACAAGTTCTATGCATTATGTAAACCAGAAAAGCTCATTTCTTTGAAGCAACGCACCCTCCACCATCGCTGGAGCTCAAGAACTGTGTAGACCCGCCTCCAAAGAACATACAGGGCATTGGCACCAATACATACATAAGAGCTGTTTAGATCAGAAAAATACGATGTTTCAGAGATGGTAGTCTAACCATCATAATAAGTACCCATTTTGATCTTTTTAAAGTGCATACCTGATAACATTGGCCACCAATTACCATATATAGCGCAAGCCTGCAAAGAGAACAAACAGAAACCAATGTAAAACCCAACAAGTAACAAGATTTACACTCTCAATAAATGTTTAGATTTTCAGCACAAGCAATACAGGATGCTCAATAGAAAACTGAAAGGAATGTGTGTGTGTGTGTGTGAGAGAGAGAGAGTCTGATAAATTGTACCTTCATGCTATATATAAAAGGAGAAAAATAGGCAAATCAGAAATTACAAAATAAGTCATTTAACAGTCCTCTCGAACATTGAGCATTTTTTGCTATATCCTTAGTTCGATTCGTACCACTTAACTACCAAACAGAACAGAACATTAAGCATTTGGGATATGCCAAATCAATTACTATATACAACAAAAACAAGTCCAGGCAATGTGCCTAGCGCCACTCTGAAATGCACTTCTAAGGATTTCATGAACAAACACCCAAAGCCATCATATGCAAGGAACAATGAACCACCTAAATGCCTTCACACGTGCGGGAAAATGAACCTTACCACCAACAGCATTTTGTATGGTGACCACCTGCCTCACCAACAAGAGGCATTGGTAGAAAGAAACCATCACAGATTAAATGAAACTACTCTCGAACAATCCCAGTAAAATAGCAGTTTATTCTCTCTAAACTAGAAGCCCGTGTTTCAAGGCCTACTCATCCATCTCAATGATATGAACACCAGGTCATCAGCTGCCACAATTGATTTGATGTTTATCTCTTCCATTCAATCAAGGAACCCCCACATACAGGCTTACTTTAGCCTCTTGGCAATCATCAAGAAAACATTACATACAAGATAACTCACTACAGCAACCCAAATTGCTTGAAGTGCTGAGGCATCTCATTCAAGAAGAGGAATGCCAGAAATTATAAACCAAGATTTCCTCCTAAGTAAGCCTAATCAAACATACTGGACAATTTCCATAAGCTACAGACCAAATCCTACCTCTCTATCAAAAGGAAAACAAACAACACCACCACCACCAACAAAAACCACTAACTTAACCCTTTACCTGCAAGATTTTGCAACAATGCTTATTAAGCCATAAATGCATTTGCATTGCACTAGAGAAGCCCTTACACAATCCAATCCATGAGGCATACCCTAAGAAACCAATTTTTGCATTAATAATCCCTTTCCCAATTCTCATGTCCTTTGCTTGCCAACAGCAGGGACCAATCCACCACATTGCAAAAGAGAGCTGCAACACTTTAGAACCTTTTACAAAGTCTTGTGACCTATTTCCCAATACCACCATTCCTAACTTTCCCATGGAAGGAATGAAAACCCAATTCTTTGTTGTTCAAACCCAATTAATTCCCTTATATTTTTGTTTCAAGTTTTATATGGAAATAGGCATCTTCCCTTGTGAACCCCACTGCCAAAATAATAATAATAATGATCCTCATTAAGCCATGAATGTATTTGGATTGCACTAGACGCATTGCACTAGAGGAGCCCCTATGCAATAGACCCAATCCATGAGGCATACACAAGAAACCTCCTCTCCAAATTTTCTCATATCCATTGCTCGCCAACAGGAGGGACCCCCTCCACAACATTGCAAAACAGAGCTGCAATACTCCAGAAATTTTTACCAAGTCTTGGAATCCATTTCCCATTGCCACCATCCCCTGCGTTTCCGACAACATTGCAAAACAGAGCTGCAATACTTCAGAAATTTTTACCAAGTCTTGGAATCCATTTCCCATTGCCACCATCCCCTGCATTTCCCATGGAAGAGTGAAAACCTAATCGTTTTTTGTTCACTCCCAATTAATTCCCTTATACTTTTGTTTCAAGTTTTATATGGAAATAAGCATCTTCCCCTGCAAACCCCACTGCCAATAGTAATAATGACAATAATAACAATAATAACAACAAGAATGCACTCTCTATACTATTCTTAATGTAATGCACTCTAGTCTGTTCGGTAATTCCTATTCTCTCACTTTCATTCTTTGTTTTATAAAACATTGTATCCTGGATTCTATTCTTGATCTTTCCAAGTTATCTCCATTAGAAGCCTTTAAAATGATGACCTGTGATCTTCTATGGACTCCTATTTCTTGCTTGTCAAGTGACCCACATAGTCGTGGGATATGAGGCTTTCCAAACCTTAACGAGGTATTTGTTTGTTTCTCTTTGAACCAGCGGGCTATACCATTTCTTATGCTCAATTTCAATGCAGTTCCCTTCAAATGGGCAGGTGTAGAAGGAATCTCTGGAAACAAGTTTGGTGATATCCTAAAAACAAATCACGGACTAATGGAGGTTGCAGATTCTAAAATAACAGAGGTGAGTGTTCTTCTTTATGGGCCCCAAGGTGTTTTAAGAGTCCCTTGGGACCCCATGTTCCCAAAAACAATCTTCAAATTTTTCCTGTTGGACCTGATGTGAATCAGTTTCCTGATAAAAAGATTTGGCTTCTTTTGGCGGAGAATTAAGATGATCTCTGAGTTATCGCTGGTCTTCCATTCCAATACCTTCAAGAGGCTGACCATCAGGCTAAAATTGTTGCTAATAGTGGAATACGCCATGTGGGTAGAGAAAGTGGAACCCATGAGGGTCTCGATGTTGGGGATTTTTCTATCTTAATCTATTGTAAGCACTTATTGTTTTTCCATCACTCTTTGGCTGTATCACATGGAACTTCGTGTATAAATCTCAAACTTAAAGATGATAATTAGAAAAAGGTTAGAATATGATCCATCAAAGATTTCCAGTAAGAATAGATAAGGAAGCCATTTATCATTTGATAATAGATAAGGGAGTTGTTAAGCACTTCATAAATATTGTCTAAGATGATCCAATGTACCATGGGGTATTAAAGGGGTTCATTGACACATCCATAAAATAATTGATCTTAAAAAGCATTTCTATTGGACTTCCAAACTAGAATTTGATTTTAAAAAAGAAATCTTAGTGTAGCAAGATATTGCTACTGTAAAATGAAAACATCTATACTTTTAATTTCATTTAATTACAAAACAACACATGCTCATAGAGAGTAGAATGAAAAGTATACAATAAGTCTTTGGTCAAGAAAGCATACCAGAATCTGCAAGAGGATGCTAGATGAAAACATAAAAGCTAGCCCAGCAAGTCTGCAAGCACAAAATCATAGTCAACAAATCGACCTCCATAGCATGGAAAGCACGTAAATGTAAAGTCAAGTTCTTCAACTTACACTGTGGATCCAAATCATCAACATCACCAAGTCCAAAAAACATAGCAACATGGTAAAACGAGAACCAGTTAGAACAAAACAGCAGAATATATAAAGAACAATTTAAGAATTTGAGTAAGTTGGTATGTGTGTGTGTATACATTATATACATATAGCGAAATCACTGTTCATTTTTGCCTATAGGAGTTGGGAAGACTTTTCCATATATATATATATATATATATATATATGAAAAGACAATCCCTATTTGAAAGAAAATTATCCAGAGTAATCTGAATTCAGGCTAGTGACCAGAAAAAAGAGCCTTTGAAAGTTAGCATGTGCAAGAAAACAAATCAAGGGAATGATCTGAATCATAAAACTTAGAAGCATAATGCTATGTGTTTAAAGGAAGATCCCTCAAATCCGTACCACAAACTAATTTTAAAAATGATGTGCGATAGAGAGTGGGACAATCAAATTCCTATCCGAGGTCAGATCTACTTAGAAGTGAGCAGATCTGCTCTCAGATCAGTGGCAGATAAAATGCAATAAAACGGGTTTAATTCTAATAAAAATAAATGAATACAGAGAAGAAATGCAAAAAGAGTAAAAAAATACCAGATCGGGCCAGTTGGCCCGGGACTCCCGAGGCTTTGAGGCCTGGCCCATATCACGACCGGCTAAGTTTATGTCCTCTTTGTTTCTCTTCACATTTTGACCAAGCCTTGGCTTGGTTGGATGGATCTCTTTATCTAAGGGCTGTAGGTGGCCTAGAGCTAAGGTTTTCTTAGGTATAAGTTTTTCTCAGGTTTCACAATCCCAAAGCTTTTTTTGGGCACACAAGCTAATCAGGTCTAAAATGTCTAACCTAAAATGACCTTTTTATAAGCTGAAAATCATGTGGAATTGGTAACATACCATAACCAGAAGATTTCCTAGCCTGGACTGCCGTTTTGGTGGTCCAAGACTTGGGCGACAGTCAAAAATGATTCAGAAGGGGTTGGCATGCGGAAATTGCCAATTTGGGGCAATCGGAGCTCACTACCAGTGTCGCCCAAACCAAATCTGTTCAGAATTGGCAGATTCCAGTTTTGAGGGGATCTACGGGCTCTTGTGATGCTGCCTGCCAAAAATTGGGTCAAAACGAGATGTTTTGCTATTTAAATGATTTTTTTTACTAAAACAGGGTATTCTGCATGATTTGGTTTAGTCTGGGCTAGGTGACCAAATTTTCTCAAAATCGCTAAATTCCAGTTCTAGGGGGATCTACGGTCTCTTGTCGAAGAATCCATGTGACATAGGCATAAGGGAAGAAAGTGAAAGGCACAATAACTATGGATGTATGGGCATATATATATATATATATAAACACGTACACACAAAAGTAGTGCACTTGTTATCTGATGTAGCTCACATGCATGTTCAAGAAATTTTATGTATGTTTATTTGCAGTTTATAATGTCATGGATAAAGATCACTCTATATGTTGAGAATTCAATGCACTAGTGGGAAATGAATCCCATGGGCCCCACCAAATTAAACTTTGATGGCAGCTTCTACATAAACCCCTGCCCAGCAGTATTAGGAGGTAGGAAGTATTTTCTGAAACTACCTTGATGAAACACTCTTGACCTACTCAATTCTGGCTGGAGTTGCTGATTCTACTTTGCCAAAGCCCAGTCCCAAATGACTAGGCTCAAAGTGTTTATTAGAGTTGAGGAGATTAGAGTTGAGGAGCTCTCACTCCTCATCAAAGGAGACTCTTAAATGCTATAAATTGGAACAATAGAACTATTGTCAGATCCCTTTCATTAGTATCATGAATGGAGCACAATAGGGCGCATGCAAAACCTTCTTAGTGCCAAAACATTTTACAAAGGACTTTCGAGTCCTACAGAAGGTAGGAAGTATTTTCTGATACTACCTTGGTGAAACACTCTTGAGGAGCTTTCACTCCTCATCAAAGGAGACTCTTAAATGCTATAAATTGGGACAATAGAACTATTGTCAGACCCCTTTCATTAGTATCATGAATGGACCACAATGGGGCGCATGCAAAACCTTCTTAGTGCCAAAACATTTTACAAAGGGCTTTCGAGTCCTTTACAGACTTGTGCTATTTTGGGTGGTTTAGCTAACTTTCCTGAAGGGCTAATTCTTTACATAGAAAAATCTACGTGAAGAAGTACCTTCAGCCTTGATTCACCTGGGTTGGGAGGCAAGGCTGGTGTAGCATGATGCATTGATGAATGCGCACATGTAGGCTAGCAGCAAAGACCCTGGTGCAACCTTGGTGCAAAATGGTATATACAAATGGCTAAGTTCGTAGGACTTGGTGGACCACCAAGACCAACAGATTGAGGCTTGGTTGGGCGAACCATGACAACGACCTGAGGCGATATGGGTATGGTCCATGTGCAAGAGGTGGCTGAACATATACCTTGTTGGGAAGGGGTGTTAACCATAACGGTTAAGTGTAAGAAGTTGAATTCAAACTCTGAAACGACTCCAGACACAAGCTTGTGTAATAGCCATAGGCCACGTGAGAGTGCAAACGTATTGAATTTAAATGAGCATCCACAAGCACACTCAGGAGGAATAGAACAAACAAGCATGCAAGGCATACACAAGTTATAAAAAAGGTCATAGCTTGCTCATATTCACTCTACACACTTGGTCATATGTAGTCAGCTAATGGGTTTATATAGCTCCAAATGCACCTACATGCTCACCCTCATTTACATGGTAATTAAGGCTTATACTACCATTATTGCCCACCAGTTGATTGTAGCTACTCCAGATTGTACCTCTACATGACTGGCTTCCCACATAGTTTATTAAGAAATGAAGGTCCTAGTTGGGTCATTATTGCCATGCATGCCAATTCAAAAATACACGGTATTGGTTGTTGATGCTCATTCAAACCTACTACATTTACACTCATCTTCTCTTACAGGGCCTATAGCTGTTATAAAAGCCCACGACTGTGGTGGTTTTAGAGACGTGCACATTCATCTGTGCATCATGCTATAACAGTCTTGCTTCCAATCCAACGTAAGTCAAGGTTGAAAGTACTTCTTTATATAGATTTATTTGTTTAAAGAATTGGCCCTCTAGGAGAGAGAGTTAAACTGCTCAAAGTAGCACAAGTACGTAGAGGATTTGCAATTCCTTTGTAAAATGTTTTGTTGTTAAGGAGGTTCTATGTGCACCTCATTTTGCTTGCACACATAACCCTAAGGAAAGGGTTATGATAATAATTCTACTGTCCCAACATGTATTTGAGAGTCTCAACATGACAATGCATGTTTCAATTGGCATGCATGGTAGTAATGACCTAACCACCACCTGAGGGACCTTCATAGCCATGTGGCCAGCCACTGATGGAAGGGCTGGAAACACTACCACATCAGGTAGTGGGCGGTAATAGTGGTGCAAGCCTTAATTGCCATGTAAATGAGGGTGAGCATATAGATGCATATTTAAAGCTATATAAACCAATTATATGGCTTCATAAGACCGAGGGTATAGAGTGAATAATAGAGAGGTGTGGCCCTTCTTTATAAATGGCGTGTGCCTAATGTGCTTGCTTGTTCAATTACACCTGAGTTTGCTTGTGGGAGGCTGACATGGCTCGGCTGCAAAGGTTTGGCTAAGTGAAAATTAGCCCCCATGACAACAACCCCTTGCCCTTGGAGAATGGACCATATTTTCATTCAAATATTCGAGATATGCTACTCCTTGTATTCCTTCAAATATTCATGGAGTTAACGTTTTCTGCAGACTCCCACTCCAAACTGGTCGAGAGAACTGAATTGTTCAGCATAGACAGCCTAGTCAAGAGGAATTCTTATAACAATTTGGTAGAAACACACACCCTCATACCCTAACATTACTAATAGTCTTTTATGTTTTGACAACATCTAAAAGGTCTGCAATTTTCCAAAATATACTTATAAAGAGTTATTTCATCAAAAAGAAGTGGAAAATCGATCCCTGATGTATTTGTTGATCACTTTACACAGGAATGATGAAATTTATCAGCAGACTATTTCTTATTGATGATAAACAGAAGTTTTATGGTACTTTTGTTACCAATTACAAAAAAAAAAAGGTTTGAGGGCAAGTAAAATAGTATGTCCATTTCACATAACAAGGTCAATACACTCCTTTTGCATAGTTAGTTTTCTTAATACAAGTAAATCTTATAGATTTGGTAACTTTAAGATGCAGTTTCCATGATCTAAAATCCTACCCATTTTTTTTTTTTCTACAATTTGATCCATGTGAAATTGTAAATAGAACATCAATATGAAAACAATTCCCAACCCCTCTCCCGCTCTTTATGCAGAGTTCTGCCAAGACTTCCTATCCTATCAGCATCAGGGAACGGGGTGTCTCAACCTTGTCACCACTACTAAAAAAAAAAAGATAAAACAGATTCACCACATATATCCCCTTTCCCAAATACTATATTAGTTTTGAGGGTAATGCGATCATTATGACTCTAAGATGCCAGCATATACAGGCTGATGCATGAGAAAAAACAGAATTAAAGAGAATTTCTTTGTCCTTTTTCTATGAGCATTATAATATTGCATTTGATTTGAAATCTAATGCAAGGAACAGGGGACATCACAAAGGGTCAGAAGGGCCAAACAGTTCCTTCATAAACACAAAAGGGTGCATAAGAGATGGATCAAGGTCACCATGAGAATAATTTCAATGCAAGGAATGAGGACACACCACTTTAGACATGAAAAAGATCCTAGAACTAACAAGAGACGAAGAGGACTCTTGTCTTGCAAGGAGATTTTACGTACACTTTGCACAAGGTTGACTGCCTACTGGGTAAGGTATTGAGTATGAATGCGTACAACAAGAGATGGAATGAGATTACCTAAACTGAGAGGCGGCCTTTACCATGGAACCACACACTCATTTGAACATCCCTTAGCGGGTAATCCAATACTGGGTCTTGCAACAACCTCCTTTGAAAAATGTATGACACATAGCTCTCCCTCCCTCCCTCACTCTCGAAGAGAAAGCAATTTTTTAGAGTTCATAAATAAGGCTCTAAGACAAATTCTTATACCAAAATCATGAATCTCAAACTATAGCATAAAGCAAAAATAATAGCAAACACATAATAGACACAATCATACAACAATTCTTAGACATTATATGGGAGCTAGACCATCCCACAGTTTAATCACGGGGAGAAAAAGAATGCAGGCCAGAAAATTAGCCAAAAATCTATCAAAATTTCTGTAAAAAATACTCAAGAAAAAAAGAAAAGAAAAACAGGAACCAAAAGAAATAACAAGCCATTTCAATAAAGAATCCAATTGCAATGAATTTTCCATCAAAAATTGCAATTTGTCAACAATTTCTTTAAATAATATATATTTTCTGTTGGAAGTTTCAGCATAAATCATGGGTCGTCACTGGTTTGCTCAAAACAAATAACTTTGTTTCATGGAATTTCTGGCCAATTCCAGTTAAAACGAATGGGAAAATATTTAGCCTTTCAGTCATAAGAATGGAATACGTGATAAAGATATCATTTGACAGTAAAGATGGAAAAAAAAATTTACTATTAAAGAAATCAAAATTGAACGGAACCCTAATTCTCCAGGAACCTCACACTCTCCAAATTCGAATCACAAAGGGAATGTTCACGACAATTTTTCAATCATAATAATAATAAAACATAACAAGTGCTTTTTAACTCTCAAATTTTCGTGATCAAACTATAAACTCCCGGAACAATGGAAATTATGATATTCTCCAATACGAAAATTAATGGTTATTGCAATAAAGAGATTGCAGACAAGCCAATATTTAACAATATGAACAAATAGAATGGAAATTGAGAGATACTATTTACCTTCGATTGTCATCGCCATATTTTGGTTGAGCTTAGAGGATCCCCCTTGTGGGGATCTACCTCACTGCAAAGAAGCGTGAAAAGACCAGAGAGCCTACGTTGGAGTGGAATACTCCCGACTTTGTAGTTAAATACGAGGGGAAAAGTTTATACAGAGCTTAGGCTCAAAACAATCGAATTAGAGCCTACCTCAAAACTTTCACTAAAAGTTGTTTTGATTTTCAAAAATTAATTATGAGATACACTATTTCCAAATTTTAAAATCCATTTTTTTTTTTTGTATCCCTAGATCCTTGATGTCACGATGATCAATTTGATATTATTTGAAAATCAAAACAAACAACTACTAGTGAAAGTTTTGAGATAGGTTCTAATTTGATTGTTTAGAACCTAGGCTCTATATAAACTTTTCCCTAGTAGAGCTCTGTATAAACTTTTCCCTAGTACGCTCTAAACGATCAAATTAGAACCTACCTTTAAATAGTATCGAAAAATGTGGTTTCAATAATGAAAATCTTTGTGATAGCCTTAAAATATAATTTCTTCTTTATTTATAAATTTTAAAACTTAAAAAATAGTATAGATCGAGAGATCTATAAAAACTTGAAAATTGACGGTCAAAAAATGCGTTATAAAATACACTATTTTGAAAAGTTGAAATCCATTTTTTTCTCATGTCTAGGCATGTTGATGTCGAGATAATCGATATGAGGATATTTGGGCATTAAAACAACCTCTTCTAGTGAAATTTTTGATGTAGGCTCGAATTTGATTGTTTAGAGCCTCGGCTCTATATAAACTTTTCCCTTAATTTTTGGATCATCAATTTTCAACATTTTCAAGTTTTCATAGACCTACTCCATCTACACTATTTTTGAAACTTTAAATTTTACAACTAAAGATGAAAATATAAGTTAATGCTATCACAAAAATTTCCAGTATTGAAACCATATTTCTTGACGCTATTTTGAAGGTTAGCTTTAATTTGATTGTTTAGTGGCTCGGCTCTACACAAACGGCACCTCCATATAAAATAAAAGGAAGCGGTTATTGTGTGGCCAACCGGCATATTATAGAAATACGGGCTTGGCAATAAATATAATTTTTAAATATAATTTGATCCTAATTTTTAGATAATATATAATTTTTAACATGAAGATCATGAATGTGAAAAAACAAATTTTTTTAAAAACTAAAAATCATAATTATATTAAAAAAACATTTGGACAGATAGTTACGGTTGTTTTTAGATGGACTACATATTTGCATCCATCTTTAAGATAGATGTCGTTTACCTCTGGACCGCATATTGTCGAAATGCGGTCCAGCCCGCATGAAACAATTGTTCTTCTGAATTTTCAGTCGCGAGGACAAAATCACTTCACAATACACGCACACGATTAAAGGCTCGTTTGTTTCCTCAGATCCATTTCCTTGGGAACTTTCAGCTGTTTGGATCATATTTAGCAAGTTGGGAGATAATAAAATATTGACAAACCAAAATTTTGATAATAAATTGGTTTTATTAAAAGAAAGTGAGAGGAAAAACTCGGGTAATAAATACGGGTCCCAAAATATACCGTTTGTTATATAATCACGAATATTTTGGATTTGGTTAAAATAACATAGTGAAAAATCAGATGTGTAAAGATAACACAATATAAAAATATGATTTGCAGCTATTGTATGGATATATTAAAGCCATTAAACAATAATTTTATAGCCTTACTAGTGTCATTAAAAGTAAGGAAAAAGTTTATATATGATTGCAACCTTATACTGTTAAAGTAAGGTGCACCTCAAAAATCCTAAAGTGGGGAGTGTTCCATCATTGGAGGACCATCCAATTGATCATCTCGACCTTGAGATGAATACATATGAAGAAAAAAAAATTTCAAGTATAAAAAATAATGCATCTTGTAATAAGTTGTCTGGACCGTTTCTTTTCAACATTTTCAAGTGCTTTTTGATTTGCTCAATATTTACCATTTTAGAAATTTTAAATTTTATAACTAACGATAAAAAAGAGATTTTGAAGCCATCATAAGGTTTTCGATGTCAAAAAGACATCTCTAAGTAAATTTTATTGGTGTGCCTTACTTAGACAGTATAAAGAGTCAACCTTATACTTACTTCACCCATAGATTAATGGGACAATTTTGTATAGAACCTTAATTCCCCGTATTATTTCAAGGTAGACCCTCTTTCAGTTTTTCTTTCAAGCAACATAAGGAAATTACTAAGGATATCACCGTACCCTTTTATCTCTTCTTCCTTTTTTATTGACTTTTGATCATAAAAATTAGCCCCAGCAAATCTTTTAATATCATTTTATCCCAAAATCTTTGTTAACCCTCTTTTTCTCTTTCTACCAATTAAAAACGTTTTTGAGTTGAAATGGTATAAAAAGATTTATTGGGGCTAATTTTTATGATCAAATGTAAATAAAAGAGGGAGCTAAGAGATGAGGGGTTATGGTGAAATCTTTAAGAGTTTTTTTTCTGCCGCTTAAAAGAAAAACGGAAGGAGGGTCTACCATGAAACAATAAAATTGATTAGGGTTCCATACAAAATTTTCCTTATATTAATACTTGACAACTTTTTTTGAAATTTCAATAAATTCAACAATAACATTGACTTTGTTGTCACATCACAAAACATATCATAGATTTATTGGGAGCATATGGAACAATAACAAACAATACTAAACATAAAAACCAATTAACAAATAACAATATCTTGGAACAAACTTTGTTCCAAGATATATGATTATTTTTCAAAGAAAAAATAGAAAACGCCTTCAATATAGGATTGCAATTAATTAAAACAAAACACAAAGACCCAAGTATGTAAAATAGTAGTTCATCCAAAATGCTATGTTGTACACAAATAATATAAAAATAAAAAATAACATATGAATTAATCAAACTTCTCTATGCATAGAAAAACTACAAAATGCTTAAGCAAATTTGAATCTTGCACTACATAAGGACGCTATGGATTTAAAGCAAAAAAAAAAAACGATTTTTCATTGGGTTACTCTTCTTCTAAGTCTACCTATTATTTTGAGATATGCGATTGTTTTGGTTACTTTTTTAGGGAATATATTGCTCGTATTTTTTCATACACTTTTTTTAAGAAAACTCATTGGTGAAATTTTTTATGGAATTTTTTGTTAAATCAAGATTCTTAATTTACTCCCACTGTTAGTGTGATTATCTTTAAACCAAAATTCAATAGTATTTGTTGAGGATTGATGTCTTGTATTATGATGAAATATGTCTGCTAAAGGTGGAGCAAAAAAGACGACTCCGGAGGGCGGTTATTTTCTTGATGCTTGATATTGATGACATGCTCATCACTGCCAAGAATGCATATGACATAACCTCTCTCAAGTCTATATTAAGTTTTGATTTTGATATGAAGGATCTAGGGGCTGCTAGTAGGATCATTGGTATGGAGATTCATAGAGATATAAGCGCAGGTAAACTCTGAGTAACTAAAAAAATGTATGTTGAAAAGGTGTTGGAGTGTTCCAACATAGAAAATGCCCAGTCAGTTAGCATTGCATTGGCGAGTCATTTCAAGTTATCTGAATGTCAGTGTCCCACTAAGGATGAGGAGATAAAGTTGATGTTTCTGGTGCCCTATGCTAGTGCAGTTGGAAGCCTCATGTATGCTATGGTTTGTAGCAAACCAGATTTATCTCATACTGTCAGTGTTGTTAGTCGATACATGAGTAATCCCTACAGAGAACATTGAAATGCTATTCAATGGATTTTTAGATATCTGAGCCGGACGTCAGATCTCGAAATTATGTTTAGCAGGAAGGGAACCTCTATAGAACTTGTGGGATATGTCGATTCCAACTATGCTGGTGATTTAGACAAGTAGATGTCTACTACAGGGTATGTATTCACACCAGTAGGTGGACCTATTTCATGGAAGGCAAAGGTTCAACCCACGATTGCCTTGTCTATGACAGAGGCAGAGTACATGACAATAGTTGAGGCTGCAAAGGAGGCAATCTGGTCGACTGGTTTGGCTCGTGAGTTGGGGGTGGAGCAAAAAGTTATCGTGCTGCATTGTGATAGTCAAAGTGTCATAAATCTTGCAAAGAATCAAATGTTTCAAACAAGACAAAACACATTGATGTGAGATATCACAAGATCAGGGAGCTTATATCAGAAGGAATTATTCACTTGAAGAAAATTCATACGAATGACAACTCTGCAGATATACTTACAAAGCAGGTCACTATGAAGAAGTTCAAACTTTGCTTGAACTTGCTTAAGTCACTCATTGTTGAGAGTGTGGGAAGCACCCCATGGCAGGTAGGGGTGAAGTTGTGTACCTTTATGTAGGTACAGGGATGAAGACATCTTCAAGTTAACTTCAGGGTGACTCGACAGAATTCAAACCAAGGTGGAGATTGTTGAGGATTAATATCTTGTATTCTAAGAAAATATATCTACCAAAAGTGGAGTAAAAAAATGACTCTGGAGGGCCGAAGGCCGGATGGGAGTTCTTTTAAGGGACTTTGGGGTATCCGTATATGGGGTATTTTGGTAATTTGTACGGGCCTCTATATATTGTAGCGATGGAGGATCTTTTTAGGGTTAAGGGAAAAACACAATTTTGTTGATAATCAGAGAGAACAAAGAGGCGTGAGGAAGAGAGCTATTGTAACCCTATTCTCCATTGTTAGAAAAAAAGCTCTCATCTCCCGTGGACGTAGGGACGTTGCCGAACCGTGTATATCTTTGCGTTGTGGTTGATTTTTTTTTTCTTTTGTGTTTGTTTCTTCTTTTTTGTTTTCATGGATTGCTTTTAGGGTTTTCTACAGTATTAAGTTAAAAAAGATAAAATACCGATTTATATTGGTCCCATTAAAAAACTATATATTTTTTCTAATATCTTTTGAAAAAGTCGGACTTCTTAATGGATTTCAAAAAATCAGGGATTTTTTGAAAAAATTGTATTTT